CTAATCGTGTACGTGAAATACAAGATGTTGTATCACCTTCGCAATGGAAATACTGTAAGGGAAATGACAATCCGGCTGACATAGTTTCACGTGGATTAAGAGCTTCTGATCTAGTGGGAAAATAAACTTTGGTTCAATGGACCAGTGTGGTTAAAGAGAGAAAATTTTACCTTCATCATCTTTTGATCCTTTGATCGAGCCTATGGTGGAAGAGGTACAGGTAGAACAGCGTCAAACTACTGTATGTTCTGTTATTAGCCAAGAGGCTGAATTTGAATTGACATCCAGGTTTTTTCATCCTGGAAAAAATTGAAACGCGTAACTGCATGGTGTTTAAGATTCTGCCACAATATTAAACCTACATCTTTAAAACTCAAGGGTTTTTTTAACAGTTCAAGAATAAGGCAAGCAATTTGATTTTTAAAATCATGCAAAATTCCGAATTTAGAGAAGAAATTAGACTTTTGAAAGCAGGGAAGAAATTGAATCTCAGCAGTAAAATCCTGAAATTAAATCCTTTTCTTGATAGAGAAGAAATCCTTAGAGTCGGTGGTAGACTCTGTAACTCGAATCTTTCAGAAAACACAAAGTATCCAATCATTCTTCCCAAAAGTCACCAAGTTACTGAATTGATAGTCAAACACTTTCACGAAGTGAACCTTCACGGAGGAGCCACATTAACATTATCTGCTCTGCGACAGAAATATTGGATCGTTAATGGCCGAGAAATTGTAAGAAAAATAATTTGGAAATGTATAAAATGTTTTAAAAATCGAACAAGCACATCCAGTCAGATAATGGGCGACCTACCTGCTTCTCGCGTATTGCCGGATAGAACATTCTCGAATACAGGACTAGATTTTGCAGGCCCCTTTTTAATTAAAGCTAGGAAAGGAAGAGGGGAAACGAGATATAAATGTTACGTTTGCCTTTACATATGCTTCACCACAAAGGCCATTCACCTAGAAGTAGTCAGTGATCTAACAACTGAAGCATTCCTAGCATCTCTGAAAAGATTTGTGTCACGCAGAGGAAAACCCAAAAAATCTTTTCAGATAGAGGAACCAACTTTGTTGGGGCTGATCGAGAATTAAGAAGATACATAGCTACACTTTCCTCTGAGGAAGCATTTCAAAACTACCTGAGCGGTGAAAATATTCAATGCATCTTCAATCCTCCTGCTGCCACTCACTTTGGAGGCCTTTGGGAGGCTGAAATGAAACAAATGAAGATTCACTTAAAGCGGCCTATTGGGACCCAGGTTCTGACATACGAAGAATTTCACACCTTAATTACACAAATCGAGGCGTGTTTGAATTCCAGGCCAATAGTTTCCATCTCATCTGACCCTGAAGATTTTAATCCTTTAACACCTGGACATTTCCTAATTGGGACTACATTAACAGCAATTCCTGAACCTGATCTTACAAATAATAAGCTAACCCCTGCTGAAAGATGGAAATTGACACAGCAAATTTTTCTAGAGCTTTTGGAAACGTTGGTCTAGAGATTATCTTTCACAATTACAAGGGCGTACCAAATGGTTGAGGGATAAACCAAATTTAGCCCTCAATGACTTAGTCTTGATAAAGGACGAAAATTTGCCTCCATTAAAGTGGCAACTTGGACGAGTAATTGAACTATATCCTGGTGCTAATGGAAAAGTTCGTGTTGTGAAACTAAAAACTTTATTGGGCGAAATGAAGCGTCCTATACATAAACTTTCCCGCTTACCATTGAGTGAATAAGACTCTAAAAAAACATTAATTGTATATTCATAATTTGTGTCTTTATTATTATTATTAATTCAACTATGTTTCAGATTCTGAGAATGGACCACAATTGTGGATTATGGTAATTTAGCAGTTTCATTATTTTGTTTTCCTTCTAGAGATAGTAAGTATGTTTTATTTGTAAACTTTTGTGCTAAATTTAATGTTGTTATTCAATTTAAATTTGTCATTATGCATTGTTATTTTATATGATATACTGTTGAACTTTTGGGAAACTTGTTTAAATCTAAAATTGAAGATCTTTATAATAATGTTGTAATAAACCAATGTTCATCGGGGCGGAGTATGTTCCGTCTTTTCGGTAGATAGGTGGCGCTCTTGATGCGCGCCGATGAAAAATATTCCTTTTGACGCTTGAACATGAAGAATGACGCATGTCATACCCTTTTGATGCTTGATTATGTTTCATGGCCGCTATAGGAAGTAATATACTATATCTTTAAGTTTATCGTTAATAAATGTTATTTCTGTGAAATCTTGAAGTTTTGATTTGAAATTCTAATGCTCTCCCAACCTGTTTCCTGAAAATGAAATCAACTTGAGAAATTATGACTCATGAAGAGACACCATACAAACATATATAACCTTCAACGATTATTTAATTGATCTAAACATTATCATGAATAAAATAAAGAGCATAATTCATATCAAAAGTATTGTAAATATTTTTATGTCTAAATATGCATAAAAAAACTTACAGTATAACATCATAAGGAGCGTTTTGTTTGAAATTTTATCCTATTTAATGTACAAGAGACAGCAAAAGCAAGCTTCATATCCTAAATTCTAAAGAACTTACTGCGCAGGTTACGAAAATCGTCTCAGTTTACTTCAGTCAGTAGTTTTAATTTAGGATTGAATTAAAATTTGAATATCTAAATCTTTATGCATTTCCAAATTTGATTTGTCAATTGATTAAAATACTTTTTTTATAAGATTAGAATCATATGATACGAAATGTCGACTTTAAATTAAATTACGCCTTCTAAGTTCTAAAGATCGAATTTTACCGTAACCTTAATAAATCTAAAACTAAGATTCAAACATAACAAGATTCAAGCAATGTAGAATGATTGCGCAAAAATAGCAAAAAGGATATTTTTATAATGACATGAAATTTCTCCATAGAGTATTTTGCTTTCATATAGTTATCATTTTTGGGAATCGTTTACTTTAACTAGCGAAATAAATTCAGAAATATTCCGCTTTCGATGCAAAATCTTTCTATTATATTTATCATACTATTATGAAATGTAATTAAGATGCGCATAAGATATTATTTTAAAATTTCTAAGTTAAATGCGATAACTCTCTTTGCATATTTAAATTCTACGTTGAAGAGGGTAAGTACATCTGCTTCATTATAATAAGTAGTAATTCACCGAAACTTTCCATGAATCTTGAAGATCTCTTTAGATAAAAGTGTTAGCTTAACAAGCCTATTTAAGTTCTTGAACTCAAAAATTTGGAAACTGTTTACGTTTTTCATTAGTACATGGTGTATTCATAAATTACATACTCTATCTTTGATTAACACCTATTGGTAAATAAAATTCAGAGTGTCATTAAGATAAAATTTTCCAGATTATTTATTTACTAAGTTAAATTACTCATTTTTATTCACGTATAAAATAAATTTTTCAAGGAATAAATTCACATCTTTTAAAAGACTGGGATAGAGAAAATTATCCGAAGCTAATTTAGGTAATCTCAGATTGATGAATAATATACTTTATACAGAGCTCAGTTGATATGTATGCGATTTTTCTAGATAATTCTTGTACGAAAAGTGAAAATATTCTTTCAGATCATATATCTTTAAGCAGATTATTTTCAGAAATTCATTATCTCTGATTATCAAAATGTCATCTCACATATTTACTACATATGATTGAAATCGCTTCATCTTACTTTTTTGTAAAGTTTCGTTACAAACAACAAAGAGATCATCAACAATTTTGCAGGCATCCCTTTTTGTATCATTGCATCTTGCTTCATTGTGGGGATACCAAATACTGAAAGGCTGGCAACCTCGTCCATCCAAACTATTGTGCTTCATTTTACAAAACTGTACACAGTCCTATGAAAAAAATATAATTTTATAATATTTCGATACAAACACTTCTCAAGCAGTTTTAAAGTTTTAATAGAAAGATGCATAAAATCAATCCTTTCTTATGATAGAATCAGAAAGATTTAGCCCTTAATTTCCTCAGTTGAGATCCAGGCGTATAAGTTTTACATATTTTTGGGAACTTTGGATATTCTGTGAAGTGAAAATGTCGTCCGAAAAGAAAAGAAAGCAAACTAAAGTGACGATGGAAATAAGACTAGATACTTTAAAGAGATTGGACAAAGGGAAAAGTGTAAACAAAATTACCATGGATTTAGGTGTTGGACAAACTACTTTGATACGGTGGAAAACGAAGAGGTCCGAAATCGAGTCTTAGTGTGTGAAAAGAGCATATACGGATAGTTTAAACGAAGGAAAAGTATGAAAGGTGGTGAATACCAAAAAGTGAACAAGGCGATTTATTTGTGCTTCAGGACAACAAAGGAACACCCACTTCAGGACCCTTCACGAGAGAAAACCCTGAAAATTTTTGATGAATTTCAAAAAGAAAAGCCTGTATTTACTGCTAGTGCTGGCTGGCTCGACAGATGGAAAATGCGGTACCACCACCCACAGATCAATGGGCAAGAGTAGATTTTTTTAATTCATATATCATTTGTCTCTAGGATTATAATATTTGAATTTTAGAGTTTTTTAGTTAAAACATTATAAAAATAATATCTCGGGTTAAATATTAAGAGTTATGAAAAGCCCAGCCCTTATTCCGTAAAACTCGACAGCCTCTCAGTCTACTTTATGTCGAGTTTGCGGGACTCTGTTGTACACCTGGTCTATGTTAAACACTTGAGGCATTTAGTATCAAAGGATAATTTTTTGTGCCATTAAAATTTTGAATTTTTTATTTAGAAGAGACAACAACAACAGCCGAATTCTCAGAACAATAATGAGTAGTTATCTCTTTTATTAGCATTATGTGATAACTGTTCAGCCTAAAAACAAAGAAATTTTTGCTTAGGAAAACAACCCATTCTTCTAAAGAAGTATCTCCTACGGTTCGAACTATGTAAGCGAATGTTGTACTGGCTTTCCCCAAGATTTTGAATTGTTTTAGCAAAACCCTTCCTTCTTGAGAAAGCCTCCAATGAGGATCGAACTCACGACCGCTGAGTTACGAGACCAGTGCTCTAACCACTGAGCTATGACGGCCACTTTCTGTTATTTTATATTAATAATAGGTAGAATTAGTTGCCAATAGAGTTTGCAACGAATTTGGATTGCATTTTTTGGAAAAATAAATGAAGAAGTATAAACCTTTACTTGAAACAATCAAGTTTCTAATTCCAGTTTCGATGCCTTTTACTTCGTTAACGTCTGTAGCGGTCTGACTTATTAAAGCCTTTTCAAACTGCTCTTTTCTTTAAAGTTTGCTAAATTCAGCTGCATCACCATGGAAGAAGACCTTCTTCATCTTCGGTTGAATGAGGTTTTACGAGCTTTATAAAGTAGCACCTAGAGCTGAGGAACGTGGCATTTTCGTTTAAACGTCCAGTGTGCGTTAGACGCTGGACGGTTTTTAAAGTGATTTTATGACATTTTTCTTTCTTATAATAATTTTCATATAATTTACAATAAAATTATTTCACCGAAATGTTATCTAATTTTATTCGTTACATGTTGCGAAGATTTCTTTGGGTGTTTCAGATTATAACTTTGTTTTCTTCCTATTTAATATGATAGTTAGCAGATAGGTTAGAGTTTAGAGAGAGAATATTATTTTTAATATGAAAGATAGCTTTAAAGTTAAAAAATTTCTTAATTTTAGAACATATTTCAAAGTGAGTTCCTGTAAATAGAAAAGAAATAGTAAGTTATTTTAATATTAATCCCAAAATTCTGATTTTAAATCTTTCAAATTTTCTAATTCAGTATACTAAAACATCATATGGTGTTAGTGACCATGGAACCAAAGAAAATGAGTGGCTTCTTTTATTCCATTCAAAATTTTTGACTGAGCTTTTAAACAGAGCTCTATTCAAGGCTGATGTTGAAATGAAAATTTTGAAACTTTCGCTATTCAGGAAAGGTTGGAGTAGTCACGGGAGCTTGGGGTTTACAATTTCTGTACAGAGTGAAATTTTGACCCTTATCCGTTTTATTTCAGTATAAATGCTCTAAAATTATTATCCTTCAAATGATGGTTAATAATACATTCGTTAAGTCTTCTGCAGGACATAGGATATTCATAATAAAGGTTATTGAATCTTTCCTTTCCAAATATGGATAACATTTCTCTGCAGTCTGCATCACACCAGCATAACTTCACAAATTATTTTTATACTCAGAAGTTAAGTTAAAAGTAAATTCGTTAATATTCTTTGCTATTCCTTTTTGGTGTCTTATAACTGCTATGGATGATATTTATACCAAGTAATTTATCGTGCAAAGCTGTCTGCGGATAGTGAAATCGAAAAAAGCAAATAATCAGTTTAATGATTGCTTCTAAAAATAATTGTAATCGTAATTAATATGATTTTTATAAATTAAATTTATTATCCGCTTCTTTTGGTAGATGTGAACTATTAACCTTTTTTTTTTCAAATTCATTATTCCATTTTTACACGTTATGTGAGGAAATCTATTTTTTAATCAGATCGGATATAGCGAACAATACTTCCTCTCCTAATTAATCTTCCGATCCTCTTTAATCAGATCGGATATAGCGAACAATACTTTCCTTCTAAGTTAGTCACAGCGGGTTCAACTGACCTGTTTTTTATATATCTTTCATTCAAGATAGATACTAATTGGATAAGAGAATGTGCACTTTTATGCGATAGAATACTTATGAAATTTACTTTCATTACTAAGCAATTGTTAACTTTCATTATTAAGCAACTGTTAACTTTCATAAACGTGCCTGCAGTGTGGCATCAATAATTATAAAGAACTCTTACTGTAAATTGCAGATTCCAGCCATTCGGAATTCTAACTCAGAATATAGTGCCGCATAATTCACTTGCCGTACACAGCAGTAGAAATAGTGCAAAATATTTTTTAATTATTCGAGGGTTTTTTTTTTTTCTTATTATTATTGCACTTAATGTTCTGTTGGTATAAGAAATCATAATAAAATCATTCCTTTAATTTGTGTCATTCTAAACATTAGAAATAGCTCAGTAGTAAATTCCTGAATTCTATCTTTTATTGCTAAAATAACCTTACAGTTGACATATTTAATTAAAATCCATATATGTAGCAATTAATACATGAATTAGAACTAATATTAATTCTCTTAAGATGCAATTTTCCCACGTCAAAATAATGAAACAGAAATTATTGCTAAATTGTATGCGAGATGATAATTCACATACAAAAAATACTGTCTTTAAAGCTGATTCTGAATTCGGCATTCTAAACCTCTTAAGTAATCAAACTAAATATTTTTGAGTGGTAAATGTTTTTCAATGGGTACAATACAATACATAAGCTATAACTACTTGCAAGGTATGTCCTGAAAAGTGCCTGCCAGCTTATTGCATTAAGCCATATTAAACCATGAGGTTACACTTATAACTTTTTAAATAACTGATGATGCTTTGACGACTGTAGCTTAAGCATTCGGATCCTCATAACTGCTTCGCGACTCTTACTAGCATTGCATTTAATCATACCTGGTCTATTCTAAACTCTTGACACATTGAGTATCAAAGTACAGTTTTTGTGTCATCAAAATACTTGTATTTTTAAATTGGATATTTACTACGTGTAATTTTCAGAACAATGAGTAACTTGAGTAATGAGTGCATTTCTATTAAGATTATGTAACAACTGTGCTGTTTAGATGAAGAAATTTTTGCTTGCAGAAACAATTGATTCTTCTAAAGTAGTATTTCGTATGATTCGAAGTATGCAAGTGATTGGTGAAGCATCATTTCCCAAGAAAAAGGTTTTGCAAAATGTCTTCTCTTGGAGAAAACTACACAAAGGTGAGCTGACAGCCACCAGTGAGAGTCGAACTCACGACCCCTGGTTTACGAGACCAGTGCTCTAACCACTGAGCCATGGTGGCGACAGGCTGTACACTTTGTATACTTAGTAAGAGGTAGAATGCGCTTCAAATACACACGGATGACATGTTTTGGAAAACTGAAAGAAGAAGTATTTTATTTAAAACTATCACAGTTTCTAATTTCAGTATTTCAGTTTCGATGCCTTTTACTTCGTCAATGTTTGTAGCAGTCTGATTTATTAAAGCGTTTTTATACTGATGTTTTGTTTAAATTTTGCTGAATTCAGCCGCACTACAGCCAAGGTAAGAAAAGAAGGCGAATAACATCTTACCCCGGGATTGAGTGCGGGTTTGCGAACTATGCGCGGTAGCACTTGTAGCGAAGGGAGGAGGGTAAGAGGAAAGGCTTACCAGCAACTGGTCGGAATTCGGTAGAGCAGGATCGTTGTCTATGGAGAGAGTATCGTTCCGTGATATCGGCTGTCGCTCTGGTCGACATCCAACCATTGTCATGCAACTATGGAATAAATGGGCTGTTGAGAGGCGTACTGAATGGCATGCAGGATCTCAACGCCCTCCCATGACAAACGCCTGAGAGGTCAGACATATTGTGACTAAATATATATAGAATTACAAAACCCTACAATACATTACGGACCATTAGTCAGGAAATAAGTATGTTTACATCACCCCCAGCATCTGCTCGTATGGTAAGTCGACGTTTGCAGCAGCGTGAACCATCATCAAGGCGACCATTACTTTGGCTTCCCATGACAATGCAGCATAGGTAATGATGGCTACTCTGGTGCGCCAAACGACAAAGTTGGATACAAGAGTGGCATAATGGTGTCTTTTTCAGACGAGTCTCGGTTCTGCGTGCATTAATTACAAAACCCTACAATACATTACGGACCATTAGTCAGGAAATAAGTATGTTTACATCACCCCCAGCATCTGCTCGTATGGTAAGTCGACGTTTGCAGCAGCGTGAACCATCATCAAGGCGACCATTACTTTGGCTTCCCATGACATTGCAACATAGGTAATGATGGCTACTCTGGTGCGCCGAACGACAAAGTTGGATACAAGAGTGGCATAATGGTGTCTTTTTCAGACGAGTCTCGGTTCTGCGTGCAGGACTGTCATGGCTGTATACGTATGCGGAAGCTTCGAGGAGACCACATGTCACCTGCTTGCATTCAAAATCAGCATAGGATCCCTACATTTAGTGTCATGGTTTGGGGTGAACTGTCGTACCCCTAGTGTGATGCCTACACCTAGTGGAGCCCTACACCTAGTGTGATGGCTCTGATAGTTTCGAGTAAATAATTTATTAATTCATTGTAATTCAGTAATGTCAAATTAGGCTTACGCTCTCAGAGATAGGTCCAGTTCCATCATTCTTCATCCACGCTTCTATGTAATCAAAACAATTTGTGTCGTATGGAGACTTCATTCGTTTCTTTATGGTCTGCAAAGAATTCAAAATTAGTATAGGATTATTATTAGCCGAATAGGGCTATTAGTCTCGAAACGAGATTTTGCATTCTTTCTTCAAGTCATTCAAGTCTATTATTGCCATTCGGGGAAACGTAAGATGTAATTCTTTCATATTTAATCTGTCTGGTTTTAATTAACAATTAACCGATTTAAAAGCAGTAGATGTAGTTCTTAAGAATAGTACTTTTTATTTTTCATTTAATTGATTTAAATAACAATGCCTTTAATTCATGATATAACTTTATAAGGTATTTTATCCCTCCTTCTAGCATGCCTTTGTGGTGTAACGGTAGCACACGCGACGCGTGTTCGAGAGATCCAGGTTCGAGGTCTGGCGAGGGCACTGCACATTTTTTTCATGTCTTTCTGCTTCAAAATAACCTAATGCTTCTACAGTGGCGCTCGAACTAGAAACAAAAGGTGGTGGATGATGATTCTTTACCATCAGAATTTGACGATTGGGTCCCCTAATCCCCAGTCGCTCTTTAAATTTTCTCTCTCCTTCCAGCATGTCCTTGTGGTATAACGGTAGCACGCTCGGCGCGTATTCGAGGAAGTCCAAGTTCAAGTCCCAGCGAAGGCATTGCACATTTTCATGTCTTCCTGCTTTAAAATAATCTAATGCCTCTACAACGAATTAAAAAACATAAATAGTTTTATAGAATTAATTACATTACATAGTTTTTTTTTACATTTTAAATATCCAGAAGATATATAACGTTCCCATGTCAGTCTAAATGCATATTCATCTAATATCCTACAAAATGTTTCACTGGGCTATCTATATCGATTATCCCTACTGGTGGTGGTGACTGGTGGTGGAGAGTGGGAACTCTGATGTCTAACATAGGTTAAAAAAGTGTATGTCTTACGCCCTCTCCTATCCACAGCAACACATCCCAAGGACAACAAGAGTACCGCTTTGGTAGTTTACGAATTTTGAGCATGCGATTTTGCATAGCTAATGGTTTTTACATTGGTTACAATGGTACATGTCGAACAGAATGATATTTTTGGTTTCCTCACAGAATTATAAAATATAACGTATATATATACCTATACCACAAAATTATACAAAGCATACAGTATATCATACAACATGAACTTTCAGTATATACATACATGTAACACCCAACATAAACATGAATATAAAAGCACAAACATAAAGTACGGGATGTTAATGAATGCATGGTGCGGTTTAAAAATTAATAATAAATCGATATATTATCTTAACCGCGGAAAACCTATAGCTAGGTATTGGGAACTGTCCAAGTTTCTCTTGCGCTACCATGTTTATTGTACCATGTCTGCTTATTATGTTTATTGTGTTGGCGCAGTATCAGCTTCCAAGCTGGAGTCGCAACAGGAAGATACTTTATGTCTGTTCCGTTTGGAAGTGTCCAGATTTATTGTTACAGTGCAGTGTAAGGCTCGTGCATAGTTTACCAAAGACCTACCACACAAATAGGTGGTACCGACAGTCCGTGAAAATTGGATGCCTTTGTAAAGGAAAGAGTTCTGGTCGACTTCGTGTGTCTGATGCAAACGTTGAAAGAGTGCGCTTGGCGTTTCAGCGAAGTACTTGCAAATCAATTATTAAAGCAGACAGGGAATTAAACATCCTAAAAAGTATGTGTTGCGTAAGCGGCTATGTTTTAAACCGTAGAAATTGGTACTAGTGCAGGCCCTTACACTAGCATACAAAGTGAAATGGCTTGACATGCTTGAAGAGATGCAGCTAAAATAAAAGAAGATGGTTTTGTAGAAAGACTTCATCTTCTGCGATGAAGCCAGTTTCTGTGTAAGTGGAGAGGTGAACAAATGCAGTGTCCGTATCCGGGGAAGCGAGAAACCATATGCACAGGTAGAACATCAGTGTGATTCTTCAAAGATAAACGTTTTCTGTGCGGTGTATCTCGAGAAAATGCGCTGCCTCTTTTTTTAGAACGAAAAATTGTGACTATTGACTCATTTTTAAACATGTTGGAAACGTGGTGCTTAACCCACATGAACACCAGTTGTGATAAATACATTTTGCAGTTGGACGGTGATCCTTCCCATTTTCACAGGAATGTGCGACAGCTTCTTAATCGCGTTCTTCACCAACGCTGAACTGAACGTGCTGCAACATCAAATAACATCCTTCTCCTTTGGCCATTCAACTCACCGGATTTAACACAATGATATTTCTTTCTTTTGGGATTGTTACCAAGTTTATGTACTGCTCCTTCCAATTTATGTGCCAGTTTATGTACTGCTTTTTAAATAAAAATGCATTTAATTCATGATATTGTAGAGACATTAGGATTTTTTTGGAAGCAGGTATATAACGTTCCCATGTCAGTCGAAATGCATGTTCATCAAATATCCTCTAAATATTTCGCTGTCCCACCTGGACCATCTCTATCAGTTATCTCTACTGATAAACCATGTTAAGCTTTAAAAGAGCCCATTTTGGCGATCATTTAAATATAAATCGTCTCGTATTTATTTAGCTGTTTATTTCTTAGGCCAAAGGGGTGTTAGCCCAGAAGGGCAATTAATCTCGAAATGGCCTTTTGAATCGAATCACTATAGAAGTATCTTGAATCTAATCATTTTTCAAATTGTTGCCACCAAATATTATCGCCCTGTATTATATTTGAAGAAACTAAATAATGAAAAATCTGCATGAATTTATATATATTTTTCGCTTTGTGAAAAAACAACGGTACCTACAGTCATCAGTTTGAATAATATAGTCCTTCACCCGAACACGAGTACCTGGAAGCCCGATTTGGAATTTTGAATCTGTTATATGTATTGTCTATTCCATATACTTGTTAACAAATTGATTAAAAAGCTCAACAATTTCAAAACCAGCAATGGCAAAGCTGTAGGGAACAAAGCATTTTTATCTTCAACGCTCGAAACTGTCTATTGGAAATTCTAAAGATATGTTGTTTTTAAATAGCCAAAGTGGCGTTATCCCAAATGCTCTCGAAACGTGTATGTGTCTGTAAATGAAAAAAAATGCCCATTGCCCGTTTGCAAGTAATATAAAATCTGAAGGCTTTCAAATTTAATTTTTTTTATTAATTTTTTATTTTGCTTGTCTTGATATATAACATGAAAAGGACTGCAATTCTAAACAAGTATCTAACGATTATTGGATTAAGGTAGACTGCAACTTAGGAAACGATAATGAGAATAAGCTCAAAATTATTTTCAGATCCTTGTTTAGTAAGAAAATTATGTGCACATTTAATAGTATACTATCCTTACAGTATTATTAGAGTGTTTTTTAAAACATGTCAAACACATAGCACATTTTGCCTCATAATGCAACATATTCTCATGGTAATACGGAGATTTTAATTTTCAAATAAAAAATAGAAATAATTACGTTTTCTTTTCTTAACCCCCCTCCCCTCAAATAAAAAAACTGCATTTTCAGATTTAATTTTTTTTCCTCAATTGTTGTGTTCCTCCCCCCCCTTAACGGTGTACTATCAGGAAGCTATTTGAAATTTGTAGAATTATTATACCAAATTTCTTTTTCGGAATCTGAATTTAATAGAACTGATTTAACACTTCCCTATTATGGCGCAAATTGATATATCACGGCTTAGTACATTATGATGATTTCTCATAGGCAAAGATACACAACAGTTTCTCGAAATAACGTACCTAGCAACAAAATAAAGATTGTTTAAGAAATAAACCGTCTGTCTGCTGAAGAAAGCACAAGAAGAACACAGGTACAAAGAACACAGGTCAAAGAAGGCACAGGTTTTATTTGTTGCACTCTAGTACTTTTGCTTGATGGTATTGTATTAAAACTGCAATGTAAACTTAATATACTCTCTTCGAATACATTTTGAGAGGTTTTTGCAATATAAATGTAACCTACATAATTTGGAAATATATTTTACCTCCGTGTTTCTAATGATCAAAGCCTGTTGAGATTTTTCGTTTATTTTTCAAAAATAATGAATTTCAGCGAACACGTACACTGCTGGCCATTAAAATTGCAACACAAGGAAGGAATAATCTGACGAACACCAAAATGAGATGAAAGGAAGAAGTTAGGATTTGCAAATAATAAGTATTTCAGCGCATTTGACGACGCAGGAGAGAGAAACGACATCTGAAGCACTGCTTAAAATGAATGTTGAGTGGTGAATTTCTCATTCGGAAAGTGCTTTGTAAGGTTGGAGTTTGCTCAGAAATCGCGTTATGCCTCGAATAAGAAGAGGAAATGCTTACCAGCAAGTTTCGAAATCCCATAGAGACAGGATCGTTGCCTATCCATATCATTCCGTAGTATCGTCTGTCGCACTAGTCGATATCCAACAACTGTCATGCGAAAGTGGAATCAATAGATTGCTGAGGGTCATACTGAATGGCGTGCAAGATCTCAACGCCCTCCCAAAACTAACGCCAGAGAGGACAGACATATTGTGAGGTCAGCCCCGCAAAACCGTACGACCACATCACGGACCTTCAATTAGGAAGCATAATCAGGAAATGAGAGAGACGGCGACTCTGTTGCGTAAATCGACAAATCTGGTTACAGGAGTTGCACAATGTTGCCTTTTCAAACGAGCCCTGGTTCTACGTGCAGTATTCTGATGGCAGTATTTTTGCCTGGAGTGTTCGAGGAGACCGCACGTCACATGCTTGCATTCGATATCGGCATAGTGGCCCTGCACCTGATGTGATGGTTTGGGCAACCGTTGGGTACACAACACGCACATCTCTAGTTCGAATTGATGGTAATTTGAACGCTGATGGGTACATTTCTAACATCTTGGGTCCAGTGGTTGTGTCCTATCTTCGAGGCCCCCAAAAGCCATGTTCCAAGTTTATAATGCAACACCAGATGTCGTACGTCATGTTCTGGCCTTCATCGATACACAGGGTATTCGATTGCTGCCCTGGCCTGCACGGTCTCCAGGTCTGTCACCCATTGAAAATAACTGGTCATGGGTTGCTGAGCGTCTGGCCCGCCAGTTTGATTTCATGAATAATGGGGTAAGGGTCATTTTAGCTGCCAGGGGTGGCAGCTGTTTCTACTAATTTCGCAATCTCATAAACCCCCAAAATACTTACAAATTTAATCATTTTGTCTTTATGGCCATAATGTTTACGTGCAATAAATAACTTTTTTGTATTTGTTTTCCTTCATGGTGTTGCAGGTTTAATAGCCAGTAGTGTAATTAGCGGATTATGAACAAAGTACCTGTTACCCCTAAAATCTTTTAATTAACAGTTGATTTTTTTTTCTTATTCTCTGTAATAATGTTCCATTTCTTCATCAGAGAACCATACGCTTTCAATATAACGCATGGCTGCAACGCGGTTTAATTTTAGCCGAATCATTCGTGTTGTTCACGAAGGTAAAGTGTATTTAAAAACTACTTGTAGTCTAAGATACTAAAGTTAAATATGTTTCTCAGTTTAATAGTAAACAAATGAAGGAATTGAGTTTAAAAATGCTGCTTCACTACAACTTCTGCTGCATTCGCTGTAAAAAATGTTCTGATAATTTTGGGTTTGGCTTGGTTTATTTGATTACGGCAAAGCACTCTAGAGCTATCTATTGATGCTTTCATGGAGGGCTTCCTAAGGAAAATTGACAAGAAGTTACAGTCAACAATACTTCGGTTTTGTTTAAGCTAAATTTTTAATATTTCAGTTTCATTATTCGTTACTTCTGGCAGTATTCCTTTAATCTAATTTATATGTTTACTGTGTCTTTATCGTCATTCATTTTGCATTTTCTGTACACAAATTCTGACAAATAAAAGCATGAATTACACAATATCTATTAGGTAAGAAAATGCTACTCTCAGCAACGTGTTTTTGCTTTGCAAATCCATTCTTAAATTATACTACAATGTCAAACAGTAATTGGGTAAGAAAATTTATCTTTGCATCTCTTAGAGGATCGTTTACATCCTTGCATGAGTCGTTTGGGGTCAACGTATCATGTTTTTGCAAAACGTTAAATGACGCTGGGTAGATTTGGTTTAGTTTGTTTTATCTGATTATGGGAAAACGATCAAGGAGCTATCTGTCTAAAGAGAGGGATACCTTCGTAGGGGACTTCTAACGGAAGCTGGCTCATCAAGCCACGCCAACAACATTGCAGCTAACCCGTTTATTGAGTTGTTCACATCAGATTCTCAAAATTGTGTAAATTTAAAAATGGTCGCTAACGGAAACTCTTTCAATGGATGACACCGTTATACTGTTACAAGTAATATATCACTTGAAATTTCGGTTGCAATTCATGCTGTTAGCTTTGAATGCTTCAAAACGGAGAAGAGAGATTTTCCAAGAAGAAAAAATTTTTATAATTGAGTATTACTTCGCAACGCATTCTTACGGAAACTTTCCTGCAGAGTTTAATGACATCTTTCCAAATGCTCGCAAACATAACCTGATAATAATATTCTGCTGGCAACTTACTTTCGAGAAACTCGAAGATTTCATCGCAAGAAATGAAGAGACAGCCACTCTGTTCTGAGTTTGGACAAAATGGACGAAGTCTGGAATAAAATGTTGCAATCACAAGCAAAGCATGTGAGAAAGACGATTCTTGAATTATCCAGTATTAGCTCGCTTCATTCTAGTTTTAACTTCAAAAGATACATTTTTGCTTTAAATATAAAAGCATCTATTGCCCAAAGAATTTTTAGATTTTTTAAACGTATTACGTATTATTATATTCGCTACGGAGATATGCAATTTCATACTTTTAAATCTTTTCAAGGCGTGAGTTAGGCGCCTTTAATTAAACGCACAAGTTTTACACAAAACAAATTAAATTTATTGAGTGAGTAAAGAGTTTATTCTAAAATAAAACCAAGACAATCAGATCACAATTCGTATCTTAGTATTGCTAGAAACAGTTCCATGTTTTGTAGCCAAATTCCTAAATAATGACTTTCAAGTAAACTTTTAGTCATCATTTAAGTCACATTGCACCTGAGAACTTTCTTACATATCAACAACAACAAAGTCTGTCTAAGTAAAATCTGTTCGTGTCAATATCAGCATATTAAGAGTAATTTCAGTCAAATAAGTTGAAGTTATAAAGTAAATAATAAGAAAACATTCATAAAATGAAACATTTTATTTTCACCTGTTTAACAAAAATCTTGTAACTGTGCTCAGAGTGAAGAAGAATTCCTTCAATAAAAGGATTAGACAATGAATAGGGAGAGTGAATGCTTATTGTCTTGTACATCATTTTCATATCCGGATCATATTCATGTGGTGGAGTAAATAATGTCATTTCGATTACTGTAAAAAAGGTTTAAAACAAAAGTATTTTCTTTATTAGTTTTTTCTTATTAATTAATAAGAAAAATATTTCAATTTCTTATAAATAGGTTATGCACTGAAGCATTCTTTAAAATTAATTGCAATTTTTCGTTTTCAAGCACAAAGGAATTAGATAGTTAAAGAATATTATTCTTTTAGAAAAATAATCATATACGTTTATTTGTTTCAGAATAAAATTAAAATTAAGAAATTTTAAAGCTTAAATTAGATAAAAATGCATGTTGTAAATATGTTGTGTCATTGTTTCGGTAACGTCATTTTTTACCTCAATCCATATATTAGCGTGAAGAGAAATCTCCTTGTTTGTTTTGTATTTATGTCCATAACTGTGTATTTTATTCATCTTGTGATTCATTTGCATTCATCTGCTTCAATACATTTATTTTACGTATTGTGTACATATTCAACATTATATAGCTCCGGTTCACAGAGGCAAAGTGACCTCAAAACCTCTAATGTATCTCCGAATTGGAACTCATCACTGACTTTCTGCACGCGAGATTTTCCATTTCTTGGGTTATTTAAAGGGGCTAGAAACAGCGCCAAAATATTTAGTGCTAAAGACAGAATAATTACAGTATCCAAGTATCTAGCAGAAAGATCAGAGAGAGGGCACGTAGTGCTAGCCAGAGGTATTATTATAACAGCTGAATGCCACGTGTAATAGCTTCACTTGTTCTAACTCAACAATTTTATGTATCATGTGTATATGTTTAGGTTGTTTGAAGTACTGTATTGTGCTTAAATAAAAGGACGTTACAGTCTACTAACTGTGGTTTCTCATAAATGTTTCAACGATGCTATAGTTAGTATAAATTAATAGTCCAATGAAATGACGTATCCCATGGTCTGAAGCATCTATTCATGCGAACAGTTTTTTGCATTAGGTTTTAGCAAATAGTAACAATTTCAGTTTTTCTGCGTTATAACTCATTTATTTATAAAATATTCTGTTTCTGCCTAAAATCTTATTAACTACATAAAAATGACAACGGTGTTAATGATAAATTACTGTATGTTGGCACAGCTATTAGCTTTCTTTTATATATTTGGAGTTTATAATGCCTTAAAATTACTCTGGATTAATATTTAGGAGTGAGTGGTCTTGATATTTAAATGGCAAATAAATTATCTTTGGTTTAAATAAGTTCTTCTTCGTAGAGGAGTCTTGTTTACATTTTGGTGGTTGATGCAATAAATAACATTACCGTAAATTTTTCAATATGCAAACTTCAGAGCCTTTAATTTCAAATTATGTTTAATTTATAGACCTATAGCTTCTGCTTAAAATAATCTTTAATTATTTACTTCTTGCTGAGCTGTTTCTCAATCTAAATTTTGTTAAAGCTTAAATTTGTCTTGAGTAGTAAGAGTTTAGCTAGTGCTTTATCAGACCAATAAACAAATGATCAAACTAATTATTTGTTAAATATTAGGAAAGGCATATTGCTACCTGCTGATGTAGAAATATTTCTTGAAGTAGCCTTTGGTTTCTTGAACAGGTTGTTGAATGTGTAACAGGTACTGGGTTGTTTCACAATATTAGAACATGAAGGATTCAATACAAATTTTCTAGAATGAAAAACAAATTAATAAAAAACAAAAGAGAACACTTCAATAATGTAAGATAATTTGAAGTATTGTGCACTTTTACATTAGAAAATTAAAAGAAAGAAAATTTAGGAAAATAGTTTATTTCTCTTCTGACTCATTTAATTACTTACTGTTTGGGATATATTAGGAATGGTAAAAAAATTACTGTCATTTGCAGAACTTCGTGAGTTCTGTTCATTACAATTATGTGCCAAAAATGTGGAAAGAGTAGGTAAATATAATCTTCGATCGTTTATCATTAGTTGCATTTATAATCAGGTGTTTTAATTTCTTTTTCCAATATTATTACAAGTATTTTAGCAATATGTGGTGTTTTAGTCCAAACGGGCTATTAGTCTCAAAAAAAGGTTTTAGTTGATTCACTTTAAATGTTTTTCACTCTTCATTTCAGTCTGTTGCCAGTTGGCAATTGAAAACTCAGCAGTCTTTCAAATTTAATCTGTCTGTTATTGATTAACCAACTAAGGTATCTGAAAGCTATAGCTGCAGTTCTTAAGAATATTATTTTTTCACTTTTTAATCAGATTGATTTAAATAAAAATGTATTTAGTTTCTAATATCTCTTATTAAAAACATTAAATATTTTTATTTAATTGCGTTACATATTTTTTCAATTTTCCATTCATCCTCAGTTATCAATTATCAATTATCATTCATCAACATTCCTTTAATTATCAGTTAATTCTATTTTTAGTCTTCCTATCTTTCTCTCAGAAAAAATGTATCAGAATTCAAAAAAGAAAAATTAACATTTGAGTAAAAATAATTTCAAAGCGAATTTCACTGGAATAGTATTCCAGCATTGGAAAATAACAGCATTTGTTTCAATATCATAATTACGCAGATCCGTAACCAATATAGTACGTAAATAACTGTTATAGAATTATCCTAGTGTTAGCTCATTATTCAAACGTATCATAAATATGGTCCCCCAACAAATGTTAGGCCATGTAATGCTTCATGAGATTATAATAAGAACATGACTTGACCATTTCCGCATTATATAAGAAAGGCATAGATGCGTTTCCATTAAATATGCTGTTTCGTTTACATATCGTTCGAGCATTCGAGCAAGTAAAATTTGGTGAAAAGTAAAATTAGGGTATGGAAAGTCAGATTTAAGAGTCTGGCAAAAAATGATATCATAAATTTTAAAGAATTATAACGTTGCGCGCCTCCAACTTGCACGCAACCAAGAGGTGACTGTGAAAACTTGTATAAAAGATAGAAGCTTGTGAAGGGTTTAAGTCCCTTTTTATTCAACGTAATGAATTACAATTGCGTTCTCTTGACGCTTACAAACGGTGCCAACTCGGCAGTCAAATAAAAATAATAACCTGAAAAGAAAGTAAAGACAAGATTCTAACTACGAGGCTCTCTAAAATAACTAACTCACCGCGTTTTACAATACCGCTGCTAATTCAGCAGACTTGAAGCTCACTGGAACAATTGCCACTACTTCCCGCCAAGCACATAGGCCGCAACGCGGGGTTCTTCAATTCTCGCTAACTACCTCCGCGCTCGCTAAGTAAGAATATTACTGCCAGAATTTGGAAAACTTGGAAGCAGGTCCTACAAACGACCTGTTGTAAGTTTATCTAATTCTGAACTAACTGGCGAAAGCCTCGTTTACACAAAAAAAAAATCTTATGTAACAATTATATATTAAAAATTCTGTTTACTCGTTACAAAGCTTTCTTCTTACAGCAACTTTTCCTGGACTTCATCAATCAATCTTGGTCTTTCCTTCCAGCATCTGGAAGGAATAAGTATCAGTATCTTTCTACATACATTATAATTTACACTTTCTTGACACAATAAATTTTTGTTTTTAAACGATAAGTTTTTCTTAGTTATTGCTCACTTCACATTCATTCAATTTTTCAAGCATTAATTTAACTTTACCCTGGCTCTCCACCGTGTGTGGTGTCAAACGGGAATATTCGTGTTTTAGTCTTACAACACTTCCCCTAACCACCATGATTTGTTAGAATTCAACAACCAAATAGACACACCTTACTCGACATTCTACAACTCAATGAGCTACTTTCTTAAAAATTCAAATGTAGGTGGAGAACCCTACAAAAACACATTCATTCTAACTTCCCCCTCATTCATCTTTAAACATGCAGGCTTTCGCTCTAAAGCATGACTTTATCTACAATTTACTACTTAAATTTTGACTTCATTGCTTTTAAGCATTCACTTTTAGCATCTACAATTTTATGCTTCTAGACTAAATTCTACTTTTACATAACCTTCAAGTATTTACATACATTTACAAATTTTAATACATATGCTTTTTACAATTTACCATAAAATGAATAAGAGAAAATAAATTTTTACTTTACTCATTCTTCGCCAAGCTGGCGGCACTGAAACTAAAATTCTTATTAATACAAGAATACGAAGTTATTTTTATCTTCGGCCAAATTTTGGCTTTAACATAACAGAATTAGTCTTTCGACCAACAGAAAATGCTTGTTTTTAGCTTTTACACTTAAAGAAAATAATACTTTTGCCTTAGCTAAATAAAGTAAAACAAAACTAAGTCTCAACCGAGACATATTGACTTTCGTCAAAACATAGAACTTCGTACTTATGCATAACATTTCGAAACAACACAGAAAGAAAAATTTATAGAAGGTTTTAACTTATCTTTGAGTTTTCGATGCTTGAAATTCCGTCATCCGTTTTTGGAAAAATTGATCCCAAGTTAGAGGTTTCATGGATGTCAATCTTCTCCTTATTGATCTCCGAGTGTCGTCCCCGTTGCTTTTTCTTTTGCGTCCTCTACATGCTGGCCTCTTGACGGAGTAATCGTCTGGTTGTTGGCCTTTACGTTTCTGCCTGGGACGGCTGGTGTTGACGTCCTCCGGTCTGGAGTCCTTCTTGAATTTCTTCTGTTCGTCGTATTTTTGTGCCTCATGTTGTCGTTTCAGTTTCCGGAACGGCGGCCTTGCTGGCACCTGACTCTGTGGCCGTGTGCGCGTTCTCCTTGATGTGTAATTTCTCCTGCCATCCTTTGTAGGTGGTGTTTTCGTCTTTACCACGGTTTCTTTACCCGGTTCATCTGTATTTTTGTTTTTCTTAAACGCCGGAGTTTGAAAATCATTTTTTCTTTTTGATACCGACGTCCGGGTTGTAGAAGTGCTAGGTCTCTCTTCAGTTCTCCGTTTCTTGGGTGGTGGAATATAGTTGTTGCAGTCTCTGGCCCTTCTATTTCGTTTAGACTTGAGTCCTGCAAGAAACTTTTAAGGATTTCAAAATCATTTGGATTATAGTATTTTTTCACCTGGTCGGGACTTGCTTTACAGGTTTCCCCTCTGTCGTTCTTAAGATATAATACTACCCCTTTGATTTCCTGAATTACATAGGGGCCTTCAAACTTTGGAGCTAGCTTTGCCATAAAATTGTCTGGGGCACTTGATAAAGAAAATTTCCGCTTCAATACTTTATCCCCAACTTTAAAATCTGCTTCACGGCGTTTTCTATCATAATAAAGTTTCTGCCTATTTCTTGCCGTATCCGAGGTTTTAAGCGCCTGATCAATTAGCTTTTGCACGTCCTTTTGTTTAAACTCCTGCTCTCTTTGTTGCACAAAGAATAATTTATCTAAAGGCGTAATTAACTTTCTGCCTAAAAATAATTCTGCTGGAGTTTTCCCGTAGTATCATGATGTGCCGTTCTTAAAGCATAAGCTAATTCATTTATGTAGCCATCCCAGCGCTTGTGATGTGTGCTAACGTAACTGCGAATTATTTTTACAATGTTTTTATTAACTCTTTCTGCTATGTTAGCCTGTGGTCTATACGGAACCATTTTGATATGGCGTATGCCAAGTCCATTGCATATGTTTTCAAATATTTCACTAATGAACTGTTTTCCGTTATCGCTAATGACTTTTATCGGTGCACCGTATTTTAAAATGTATCTGTGTAAGAATGCATCTGCGACTGTTTTGGCTGACGCGCGTTTTAAGTGGAACAATTTCTATCCATTTGAAAAATGATCTACTATTACTAAAAGAAAACGATTTTATTTTTAACTCGCTCTGGGGGAAGGGACCAAGGAGATCTATGCCTAAAATTTCATTCGGAAATGTAGCGCGAATGCTATTTAAGTACCCGGCCGGGCTGTAATTAATATCATTTATTAACTGACATTGATTGCAGGACCTGACATACGCCGTTACTATTTTGTATAATTGCGGGAAATATACTCAAGATTTTCGTTTGTTGTTTTCGTATAGAATAATAAATTATGTATTATTTCATAGTTTTTTTGCTCTATTTCTTATCGCATCGATATCTGTGTGCTCAAAACTTTCGGGGTCTTTCAAATAAGCATAGATATTTCCAAATTCAGGATCAGCTTTCAGTTCAGTAATAACCGTATCTCTAGAATCTAAAATTTTTGAAGTCAACACAGCGCATTTAAGTTCATTTCCTTCATCGTCCAGTTTTATACGAGAAAGTGCGTCAGCTACATTGTTTTCCTTACCCGGTTTATATTTTATTGTGATATTATATTCTTGGAGTTTTAAAGCCCATCTTATTAACCTGGGCGTTAGGTTTTTTCCCGAGTAAAGTCTACCAACAGCCGCATGATCCGAAAAGACTGTTATTGGCGATTTGCCGAAATAAACTCGAAATTTGTGTACAGCCATTAATACGGCTAATGTTTCTCTTTCTGTAGCTGTATAATTCCTTTGTGTCTGATTCAATGTTTTACTAAAAAATGCCAGCGGATGGTTATTTTGCATAAGAACCGCACCCACCGCATATTCTGACGGATCTGCCGCAATTTCCAGGCTTTCGTCCCCCTCAGGGAATTTTAAAACAGGGGCATTAATAAGCGCTTCTTTTAATCTTTCAAAAGCTGTGTTAGCTTCCGCTGTCCACGTAAATTTACTCTTTTTTCTTTTGATTACTAAGAGTGGTTCAACAATATTAGCGAAATCTTTTATGAAAGATCGATAGTAAGAACATAATCCAAGGAAAGACGAAAGTTTCTTGGCGGTGTTGGGCGGTGAGAAATTCTTAATAGCTTTTATTTTTGAATCTTGCGTTTCTATACCCTTTTGCGAAATTTTATAACCGAGATATTTAAGTTCTTTAGTTGCGAACTTGCATTTTGAGGCGTTAATTGTAAGACCGGCCTCTTTTAATAATTTAAAAACTTGTTCGAGGTCATTAATGTGTTGTTCCAACGTACTACTCGTTATAATTATATCATCTAGATAAATTAAAGTTGATTTTCCTAGGACAGGCTTTAGAACAATGTCCATAGCTCTCTGGAAAGTTGATGGGGCCCCACACAACCCAAAGGGCATGCGTAAAAATGCATAAGTGCCCGATTTTGTTATAAACGCGGTTTGTGTATATCTTCGGGTCTCATAGCTATTTGATAGTAGCCAAACGTTAAGTCCAAAGTAGACATATATCTTGTCGATTTGATCTGTCTAATGATCTCGTCTATAACCGGCAAAGGGTAAACTGGAAATTTAGTGATACTATTTAGTTTTCTATAATCGATAGCAAACCTCCAAGCCCTTTTATCTGAAGGAGGAAACTCGTTCTTTTTCCTACATAGTACGACTGGATTCGCGTACTCACTATTTATGGGCGTTATTATTTTATTCTTTAACATCTCCTGAATATGTTCTTCGATGATTAAGTCTTTTTGTTTATCATAGCGATACGGTTTAGTCCTACAAGGTTTTTCGGCATTTAATTGAATCTTGTGAGTCACGATCTGACAGTTTCCTGGTTTTTCTGAAAACAAATGAGAAAAATTACTCACCACTTGCTGTATTGCTTTCCTTTCCTGGTCATTCAAATGGCTAAGGTCCAATTCAGGTGTCTCCACAGGTTCCACCACCCTCTGGTCCATCTCCAGCACCACGGAACTATCTTGAAAATTCAATTTGGCCCTCGCGGCCCTTAAAACGTCCATACCTAAAATAAGAGAGTGTTGCAGGTGTTTGACCACAAAAATTAATACTTTGAGATTTTCCTCTTTTACCTGTACGTTTAATGATACTTTCCCGATGCAGTGACATGTTTTTCCTTGCGCCGCTATAATTTCCGTATTTCTGGTTTTAAAGAGTTTTTATTCAAAATTGAATTTATATATTGGCACGTTTTGAAATATGGCATATTTGTTGAAAGTGATAAAACATCAAATGTAGTTTAGACACTTTGCTAAAATTATTTGAAAGTAAGAACGAAGTGACTTTTTTCCGCTCATGCACAATTGCCATATATTAAGAAGTTCCCCAAGTGAATTAATTATTTTTGGCACAAACTGAAAAAAAAAAATGCGCCAAGGTAAATTTTTGAATTTCTCTGTAAATGTCGCACCAAATTTTACAAAATTTAATGTCTAGGTATAATTTGAGTCGTAAAATCGAAATATGGGAAAAAAGTGGTATGTTATATCAGAAAGAGTCCGATTTTGTGTCAAAATACCTATGTTAGATCAATGTTGTATATGAATCTAATATATATCTTAAGTCGCGCTTTCGAGACAAGAAAAACGCAATTTGAATTTTTTCAATCGACTGAGTAGAGCGGGAGACATAGAACTGCCCCATTTTGTTTTTTGCGCAGCATACCTAAAACTGTAACTTTAAAGAAACCGCATGTATGTAACTGTAACAGCATCTGTATTGCAGTGAATATTGTAGTTCTGCCTGTATTCCTGTGCAGACACACTCATCTTTGTAATTTGCTGTTATTAAAAAAAAAAGTATTTAGGATGTCAAAATGATTATTGATTTATTTTACTAATTAGTATAACAAACATGTTATACTAAGTAATTAGTATAACATGTTTGTTAAAAGGGGTCATTTCAAATGTTCCCGAAGGGTGCTCAACTGCCGAAAAGAAATGTTCACAGACTTCACGGCAAGCAAGGAAATCAAAAGATAGTTTAGTAATAAATCACTGTTTGAATTTTGGTTAGGGTAGGCTGCTTTGAAGTTACCCTAAAAAAATTCAAACATGTAAAAAGTGATAAAAAAAAAAACATTTCTATATCTTTCGTTCTACTGGGTCAATATAACTGATCAAAAATATAGATCTCAGTTAAATATGGAAAAAGAACTGTTTATTTCTAATATTAAACATTAATTCGTAAACTTTGTTCCGCAAGACAGGCCTAACGGATTCACTAATAGTTATTAAACAGGTTTTTTTTTATTTAGTATTGACAAGTTAATCATTAAACACATTGTGAAGCACTGATACAATTCCATTTATAACTGCATTACATCAGCGTAAATGTGCATTTTATGCTTTATTAAGTCAGAATGTATTTTGTTTTGATTTTCCTTCGCTAAATGGATCAATGTTTTAATGACATTTTCTTTTCGATATGCTCACGCCCCCAAGTGAATGTTCTCCCGCCCACCTTGGGGAACGCTCCCCGCAAGTTGAGAACCTCTGAGTTACATATTACTGCCTATGGTAAAAATACACCGTCATGTTCTCAAAATCGGATCCATTTGGCCTTTAAACTTTTCATACCTAAATAAAGGCTATTTCTTTCTGTAGGAATTCTATAAAGAAACCGTTTAGATCTCTGGAATATTACATCAGGCACGTCGTTGTTCCAGAAATCCATTCATTAGGTATTTAGTATCCAAATCGCGTGCGGCAAGAAATTCCTATCGTTTTCATGTATATTTATGAAAGAGAGTATTAGCATAACAGTGCGTAGATTACTAAACATAACAACTTTTGTATTTTAACCTTATGTATGACATGTTTTTGTATTGTACGAGATAACAATTTTGCGTGTAAGTAAAAATCTGGAAACTGCGAATTTGGAAGCAAATAAATTATTTAAGACTTTTAGAAATGAAAAATGTAAGACAAGCTTAAAGAAACAAAGAAATAATCAATGCTCTAGTACGATTAATGAAAACTGAAATTAAAACATCAGCTTCAAACAAATGTTAAGTAGCCATAAAAAACGTAATAAATACTAAATTTTCTCCACGTAGAACTTACCCACAACTCATAGTCTCGGTAAAGGGTGGTTGTTTCAATATGCATGACGACACAAATGTTTCAGCATTTGGCATAAGATGAAACCTTTCCTCTTGAGGCACATATGATAGCTTACTAATAGATCCAACTGCCATAGGAATCTAGGAAGAGTCGTGAATTAAAATTTGAATAGTTAGGGATCAAAAAATAGATACAGGCAAAACTTAGCTGCTCTGAATCCCTGTTACTTCTAATTTCTGCTGAAACTGAACTTCCCATCTAAATTATGAATAATTTTAGTACGAAAATTGTAATTGTTGAAATTATCAATAATTTTATTACGAAAAATATTCTACATATCGAATACTTTTCGATTTTGATTCCAAATTTCATGAGTAATGTTTCTCTTTTCTAGAATTAACGGAAACAGATAGCACTTTTACAATTAGTCAGTTTGTCACTTTCGCGATGAAAAAAAATTGAATAGTTTAGTAAAAAAATTATAAAAGCAAATGGCAATCGTTTCTGATCTTATTTCTTTAATTAAAGCCATATAGAGTATTATTGAAACATATAAACGCTGTATTTATTCCAAAACCGCACAGTTTATACAGAGGCTGTTCACACATTTTTTAGACGATGTATATTGTATTCACAAAACTAAATTACATAAAATTCTTGTGTTTTAAATGTTCTATTTGACATCCCTTATTCTGAACTATCTTTCGACACCGCAATTTAAAAGATAATAATGCCTTTTGAAGTGGCAGAAGAAGTATTCTATCCCATTCCTCCCAAACAGCTTTCCAGAGTCCTGTTAGGGTTTTGGGGCAACGTTTGGATGATGCAGTTTTTAAAAGTCCGAAAGCACAAAACCCATAGGGTGACACATCGCGAGATTTAGTAGGGATATCAGTGAAGGGTATGGCCTTGATATGAGTTTTTGTTCCATTTCTTTTAAAAAATTTACAGTGGATTTTGATGTGTGACTACTAGCTTTTTCCTGATGGAGTCTCACAGATTGATGGCACTGTGGGTAAACCGATGGTTCATTCAGAAAAATTGGCGATAAAATATGTTCCTGATAGTATTTAGAGTTAATCTTGACATTTTTTGTACTCTCTTTATTTTTAACTAGCCATTATAAGAAAAACCAGCAACAATCTTGAATCCCTTAGAAAAACTTTCTTTCGATTCTTTGAACCATGTACTTAAATTTTTTTCTCCCCTTTTATGATAATAAATGGCTCTTTCAATACACCCATGCTTCATCTATTGTGACAACTGTTTTCCATTTTTCTTTGGATAAGTGTTTCTCATATAGAAATTCTGCAACGTGTCCTGCGTTGAGCGATATGCTTTGGAAGAAGACGATGCACATTGCGTTTTTTCGCTTTCTTAAAATTTAAATCAACGTTTATCATTTTGTTTACAGTGGACACCCAGCATTTTAATGATTTTAGAAACTGTCCTTTGACTAGGGGGATTTTCTTTTAACATTAAACAACGTACTACCTTTGCAATAGTCGAAGATGTCCGTTTTTTCCTTGGATACTTGTTTGGAATTTTTGTCCCACTTGAGGCTCCAATTTGACATTTTTTTCCTTTCTTGTTGATGATATTACCTATACACGCTTTAGATATCAAAAAACCATGACTCTCATATCGTTTTTGGATAGCGGAGTATGCATATTTCTCTTCGGAAAGAGAGTAAATGTAGCCTTCGAACTACTCTTTATTAAATTCGTCATTTTGAATAAAAACAAAACTTTCAAGCCACAGACGATAATTCTGACATTTGAAAACACAGTACAATTGCAATTACTTCTTTTGCAGCGAACGAAGTTTTATTACCGCTTACCAAAATCGTCTAAAAATGTGCGAACAGCCTCTGTATTAAGCATGAATTTCAAGTAGTTTCTGTTGCTGTTAACTGCTTAGTTTGTTGCCGCATCACTGAATCACTAAAACCTGTCACCAGCTGTGGGGCATCCCGATACACCTTTAATATTATTCATGAAAACTGCCAATTAAATAGTTCCCATGATATTTAAAATCTTAAAAAGAAATTAATAGCATGAAGTTTTTGCCATTATAAATATGCATTCAGAAGCAATTTAAATTATAAATATTATTGTGGAAATAATTAAACGCTTACATTTATAACTTAGTCAGTCACATTGTCCTGTAATTTAACTATATTTCTGTAAATTTCTTAATGCTTTCCCTACGGTATAAAATATAGACTAGTAGAGAGAAAGCATAGCAAAATTCTCGGTAAGCTCTTTCACTCACTAAACCCACTTGTTGATATAATGGCTCACAGTTAACTAATAACAAATTAAAATTTATAAATCTTTTCTTACTTATTACAAACACCATAAAATAATGAACATTGAAACTTTACCATTGCTAATATTAACAGTTTTTATATAAGAAATAGAACCTTCACGAATGGATGTAGTCTCTTTCTTTCACAGTATCTTCCTTCTGGATAGCATCTACAAAATCTTCGCTCCTCTACTGGCTTTTTGCAGGGGTAACTTTTGCAGTATTTTGAAAGAACAATTCTGTAATATAAACAATTTATTTCATTGAATATCATATCTCTGGACAATCTTTCTGTGAAGTTATATATGATATTTATATAAAATCTTACCGGTTAGTATCACTCGTTGACTCTCTACAGTTAATAGCGAAAGTTTAAAGTATGTGTTATGTATGAAAAAAAATATAAAAATCAGCCTTAAATTTTTTTGACTGGAAAATTTATTATCTGGTTAAAACGTGTCAGAGAGGAAAAATATTACGTTCGGCTTAAAAAAGAATATAGGATTAAAAAATTTTTATGTATGTTCAAAAGCACTAATATTTCTTGTACGGCTAAGGCAAAAATATTAATTTTGTCTTAGTTGCCTGTTGTACATTCTACAAAATGGGAACCTATTCAATTTTACTTGCAAATGCAGTTTGGAAGCCTAAAAGCGAACAATATACTTTTCTTGTACAAAAACACAGTAAAGTCAAAAAATAAAATTATATAATATACTTTATAGAAATAAAGTAAAACCAAGGAAAGTTTAATCATAAATCTAAGAACTATGACTAACTAAATCGAGGAAGAGAATTAATGCCAAAATATGTGTAGATATATGTGGTACATGGCCTTGGGATTTATGCAACATTGCTAGGAACGACGAAAACGAAAAAGATCTGTTGGAAACCGACAGATATATTTTAATCGGTTGTAATTTTACTGTACTTTACCTTAACAGCGCTGATAATTGTAATTACTTTACATTGTCCAAACAAATAGCTGATCTACACTAGTGATCTTGTCAGGACTACTGTTCCTTCTAACTGATTTGGAAAACATCAACAGGAATCCTGAGTGGGAACAAGAAGCTTACTCAAGTTAATTTTCGTGTGTAAGATGAATCAACAAACAAGTTAAAAAGGGTTAACTTTACACTTTATTTCACACAGCGCATAGGTGCTCCCGCACTTCGGGATACAGAGACCAACACTTTTAGCCTAAAACGTAAAAAATAAGAAATATTCACTTAACAACTAACTTAACTAAATAAGAATTAAACTCAAATTCTTTGCAGAGACTATTAAAGTGAAGATTGCTTTTTGATACTGCGTATGTAGTGAGCTAGATACAAATAATGCAATACGTCTAGTATATGAGCAGGGACTAAATTCTGGCTTAAAAGCAGACACGAATTGATTGAAAAGCACACGCATAGCAGGGCAACAGAAGGCTCTCTCTCTTCTTGGCTAGAAGCCACTCTTAAGTACCTTCTACAGTTTTGCAACTCATTAGCATAAAAATCCTACTCGTGCTTATTCTGGCCGGAAATGGAAAATAAGAGAGGATAGCAAAGTTTAAAATAAAGTAAACGTTAGTAAAAACTTAAAAATCCTTATAATCTAACTAAAAAAAAATGAGCAAACGAACCAGTTCATTTCAGCATTATGATAATGAATGTTTTCATCATCACCTTATATAAAAAAAAATTTAGTTTTAAGCGTGATATCACCCATCTCTATAGCAGGTATATTTGGTTATTTTTAATAACAAAAGCTTGCAGAGTATCTGTTAATTCATTAATTCGTTCCTTCCAGAAATTTCTGTGTTTGATTTCAATTTACAACGAACTACACGGTAAAAATCTTGATGTGTACATCAAACACTTGAACAATTTTTACGAAGGTATATATGTTTGGTTTAGAGACTTATTAAAGATTAACACAAAACGATTTGGGTAAGGATTTGCATGAGGATCTCGAGTAACGCAATAGCCTTAGCGGACTTCAAAGATAGAAAAAATAATGCATGTAAAAGGAATGACACACTATTGCGAAAGAATGTAGGCATTTTTTGTATACTAATCTATACTTGTATTTCTCAGAACTTGTTTTCTTCCCTAAAACATCTATATAAATTTAACTCATTGCATTTAAAAAATAAATCAAATGATTTTATTTTGTACCTGTAACTCTGAAGTACTGTACGTCACACAATTAAAAGGTATTTTAACTTAAATTGTTATGAGGGATCACCAGAAAAAAAATTGTGATTCAGATGGAGCAATTTATAGAAAAAGGGAATAAAAAACTGCCGTAATGCAACAATAATTAATATAAATTCTTAAATTTTATCATTAGTTGATAACTATTTATCTAATATATGCTACAAAATTTAAAGCCTTGTAACAGTTACTCTAGACTACTAAGTTTTTGAACCACTTAACTGCTTTAATTTAAGAGGCTTAAATTAAACATACTTTCTCTTTTGATTTCACAAGCACGTGCCTCGATGGAAAAAACGAATGCAAATTGATTCAGAAGAAAAAACTAGCAAATACATGTAAAACCAAAACAAAACTTTAATTGAATTTGTTTGAAATTATTTGCGTACGCAGCTAGATTTAGCATCAATGCCATATCTGCTTATAAGTTGAAATTAGCCTTTTCTATTTTATTTCAATTTAAATTAACAGTAAAAATGATGCTAACTATAGAAACGCTGACTATAATTTCATCGGTAATTCCTACGGTAATTGTGTATAACTAAACGCATAAAACTATTACTGCTATTTGGGCGTAAAATATGCAGGTAATGCGAAAACTAAATCATAAAAACCAGGAGAAAATAATAAACAGAAACAAGTTCGACGTCTATATGATATCTTGATTTAAATGTAAAATTATAAGTATGACGTGTCAGATGTTGTTAATTATGTAGATGCGACATCATGTAAATGAGAGACTGACTTTGAGTGATCCAAAACTAGAGAGGACTGAAGTACGTACTATTAACTAGACGTCTCAAAGAGCTAAACATTCCCTAAAATATAATTTCAAGTACCCAGTGTCGTTAATAAACATAAGAAGGTGGATTATCTTATTAATGAAGGTTACTATCAAGATTATTGGAGGAAACCTAAAACACCCAAACCATTATTTATGACTACTTTGCATTAAGGAACCGTTGCCCAAATACTAGACTTTAGACATATGGCGTATTGCCATTGCTACTTGAATATAATTATTGAATTGCTACTTGAATATAATATGAATATGGGAACCACCTTTCTGCTGAAATATTCATAAGTACGATTTTTCTGCTGAAAGATTACGCACTGCATCTCGCTTTCTATGCTTTCCAGAGGAAATAATTTAACTTAAAGCTATCTTCATATAGTCAGTGCAACTAAGTCCGGGTTTACCTTACATAATGATTCCTGATCTATGTTCCTTTACAGCATGCAAGCTTCCATCGCAGCCCATGTAAAACACTGATTTCGTGGTTATGGCTGCTTGTTTGAAGAAGGCTCTTGAGACACGGGTTTCGAATCTAAAACAAAAGTTCTGTGACCATGCAGGATTAAGTAGATGAGACTCTTTGCCTTTAAATAAAGCTATTTATAGATTATCCGAATACCAAATTACCTGTCTGCCAATTCGAAACTATCGATCTGCCGGTTTTAGAATGCTTTCTTTGAACTAGCAGTTACAATAGTTACCTTCGAAAGAATTAGAAAGTCTAACAATTTCCATACTCCCATGTTGTCCAGACCTACTTGAGATTTCCTTTTGGAGAATGCTCAGCTGTCTAGAGATGTCAATATGTGCTTGACTTTCATAAAGTTTCTGGATTACCTCCTACATCTGGCCTTCGTTTAAAAGAAATTTTTCAAATGTGATTAACAATGTATCTTTACTTTCGACTTTACATCTTTACATTTATCAAATACATGTGCTCGAAATGAAAATGTTTCCTTTTATGATATGCTCACATTCAGTTTACGTACATATTTTATTTGCTAGCATTTGCGCCACCGTAGATTTTTGTGTTTACTAGCATTAACTTAAGTAAGTACTCTCAGTGGTAATTTTAATCAGCTTCGCACGGTTAGCATCAGTTTTACTGCTATCCTTTAACTTTGCATTGTAACTTTGAAGACTAATTTATATCATGTGTAATTTCTATTACAGATTGTTATTTAGGACAATTACAGCCCTATACAAATTTACTACTGATCTGTCAGAAGTACTGTTAAGCTAAATGTTTAGTTATATTACATGCCTCAGTTAAATAAAAGCTTTATTTAAATTTTTGTGACCGAAAATCTTTTTCACTGAAAACAGTTTATAAATAGTCAGAACTGAAATTGTAGCTACATTGTAGTACATCGTTAGATACAAGATTAAGCCATCTGATTTAGGCAATAGATGCTATAGTTGGTGTATAAGACATATATATCTAACTCATTGGTAATTAACAGGGAGTAATATATTCAATAGAGAATAAACTATCCAATGAGTCTGTAGTAAATACCAATTTGTTGTGACCTAAATCTATAACAAATTCCGGTATCGTTGATTCTCAGCTTTGGTATACATTAGATCTAAGGCCTGTGTGTCTAAACAGACACAAGTTTCACTTACCCATTAGGATCGCATACAGTAAAAGCAGGCATCATAATCTCCTCCAGTCTAGATATCTGTATGTCTAATATAGTAGGATATTTCCAATAGAACTTCAAGAAATTATGCGTCTGATATACAAAACCAGTGAGACAAGATAAAAGAACAGCCAGTCTCACCAGTCTCAGACGCCAATCACCAGCTTGAACGATTTCAGGAACTCCCGTCACTATGGAGTTGCTGTACAAAGTCTCCGCATATTTCTTGAAACTTTGATCTTTTTTTGTGTAAGGTGGCATTTTTCAAGATCACCATCTATTTCCTTATCTTCCGGTAATTCTATATAAGCTTATTTTCACCTACGTTAAGAAAAGGAATAATTACAGCATCACAAATAAACAGAACCAGAGGCATTTAAATATTATAATAATAACTGAATTTAACGGTTATGTATTGTTGTTTTTTAGATGCTGTTATTAGCAAACTAGTCTTTCACAAAAAAAAAATGTTTGCTGAAAGTTTCTGGACCTGCTTTATTTTCATACCTAAAATAATGGGTTGGAAATGCATTTTGAGAATTGAAATGTAGGTACTCTTGGTCGTCAAAATAATCTATTCTTCTAATTTTATTGTACTTTGTAACTGCGTTAATACATATTGCCATGTATTCCCAAAATTTTTATGTAAGTAAAAGAACGTATACAAGAAAATCTAATAAATATTATCAAATATGAAAGGTGCTTGTAGCAATTCAAATGTGCTTGTGGTATCCGAAAGTATTGGGTTAAAAATGTTAATATAAAGATTGCATTTAAATATGTTGACTATTGGAGGATTTATCACATTATACAAAGAAGCATTGACTTGTTGAAACGATTGTGACCGTCTTTGTCTCACAAAGCTCTTTGTACAGAGTAGCGTATATGAAAAAGTCTTACTGCAAAGTCTTACTGAATTGAAGTTGTGATATTTTATAATATATATTTGAGAATTTGTCGTCTGTCGCCAGATGGCACTGTAGGAGTTTAACAATCTCTATCTTCCAAAGGTCATGTGACATCTACATTAGAGCTCTGTTTGTGTATATATCATTTTGCATGTATGCTTGTATGTATATCGTTTTGTATGTTTGCATATATTATACTTATCGTTTTCTCAAAAGTAATGAATTTTCATTTGTTGAAGAGTATTTTTTATTGTTTTCATTGTTGAAAAATATTTGAAATTACAGTGAACACTTCAGTGTACCAAGCCATTGTTATACAGTTGGTCATGTTTCATGAAGTCGATGAATATAAGAGCTAGTTACAGCAAGACTATGCCACTTGCTCCTGATCCAAAGAAGTCAAGCAGTTCTTATTCGGATTTTTCGGCAGCCGTATCATTTCAAAGGGATTATGGCGCCTACGTTAACCTAATTTATCTAAAGCAGACTTCAAGAAGTTCTTTTCATGCGGATATCAGAGAAAAAAGAAACTATACAAATAATCCGTATAGAATCCGTATACACTGTAAGACCTAAAGAAAAACATTTAAGAAGGCCTTAAACAAGTGTACAGCTACTCCACAAGGTAGCCTCAGGTATTGCAAAAAGAACACGTGTATGCATTACTGAACAGAGATGCCATTTCGAGCCTATATGTTAAAGACATTTTGATGTTACATATATATACGACGTAAGACTACAAACGTTAATCATAAAACTCGTATGTCTTGTAATTTGCACTTTGAATACCGCGCCACCCGTATTCGAGTGAGGGCAAAATTTCGGATCAGGCTGCGTTATTTGTATTTGGGTGACGCGTATTTTAGTACTTAAGAGGTAAACTAGGTACTGATAATATAACTGCTGAATGTTAAAAGAAAGAAACAAAAATGATAGTTGCCGACAGCTGAATTCATTCTATTCACTAAACGAATTGTACTTTCTTCGGTAACAATTTTTCTTTTTTCCTAAACAATCTTGTAAAATTTGATTAGAAGTATCTACATCACCTTTATTATCATTGCATTTATCAGTATCTTTATCAGAATCTGACGATATAATTCCATTTATAATTATCTTTCTGAAAAATCTTCACTCATACCTATTAATTCAAATTTTTATAACTCGTTACTGGTTTCTTTTTGACTGTAATGTGATTCACTTACAATTAACTCTTCAACTTTAGACATTGCAGAAAACTGGGGCAACAATTTTAACACACACACAAAAAAAATATTAACCATTCGGCACTACCGAAAAAATATTTGGAAAAGAAGAAATAATTTTCGAATCTTACACGTTTACTTATATACTTCGTTCTTGAAGAAAGATTTTCAACTCAATGAATGTCCCGAAGCATTTTATTCTACACGTTCTAAACTAACTGTCAGAAACAATTGGTGCATCGTATAGCAGCGCTTGTGGCCTGACGGATATTTTCTTACAACCTACCGTGGCAGTCAACGTTTTTAGAAACCATCAAACTATATTTATTTTCTATGAGGTGCACGACTTTTCTATAATATCGTATAAACATGCGCATGTAATTTATGATCGTGTAAGTTCGAATCAAAGAAACAGTTGTCAGGACTTATGTTTCTCTTGATTTGTGTTGGAAACATGAATGGTCCTGAATCGGGAGTTTACTCAGGCTATGTTCAAGAAGGTGTGAAGTAGACAACACAAGCAGGAAGGGTATACGAAACCCTTTATTTTCAATCTATTACAGGATCTTTCGAACTTCGGAATACAGAGACCAACCACTTGTGGTTTGAACGTAAGAATATAAAAACTACTAACTAAAACTCTAACTAAAAGCTAACTTTGCATTAGTATACAAATGCCTAGCACTAAGACTGGCCTACATTTAAAAAAGGTACGTATGTAGTACGCCGAGCTGATTAAACTGTGATACGTCTGCAAATATCAAGAGGGTTAAACCTCTGGCCTTAAAGGCAACCAGCAACCGAGTGAAAACTCGTAAGACTACAGTGGCAAGCGGTTTGCTTCCTAAAACTCCTTCTCTCTCTCGCTTGTCAAAAAGCCTCAACTTAAGTACTTGGGCGTTAGCAAGACAATTTGCATAAACAAGTTAAAGCATTTAATTCTGGCCGGAAGTAGAAAATATGAAATGATAGTACAGTTTTAAAATAAAATAAACGTTAGTAAAACTTAGGATCCTTACACAGTCACAGTCAGAAAATTAAGGGTTTTCCCCATATTGCAGTTCCTTACTTATAAAACTTCTATCGATGTAAATGTTCTTCGGAAATCATAGATTCCTATTTTGCAGTTGATATATTCCAGCTCCAATATAAATTGACTACGTTACTGTATGATATTTTGTACGATTCATCCTGTATAAATAACGTGAATGAGAACATCTTCTTACGACGTATTTGAATAAAACAAATTTCACCAAAGAATAAAATTTGCAAAATGCTTACTAATTAAATATGGAATTAATATGGCTTTGGAAATATGTCAATTTCTTATTAATTAGGCTTTAAAAACTGAAAACTAGTATATAAAGCTCGAAATATATATCTTTTACTGCTTTTGCTTTGTTGGCCATATAATAGTTATAGAATAAGTCGTAAAGACTCTGTTCACTATGAATCTCATTATTTTAATAATAAAAGTTTAAGAGTTAAAGCTTAGAGAAATCACAGAAAAAAATAAATGAAATCTTTTGCAGTGGAGATGAAATGCTCATCATATGAAATCTCGTCTCCAACAAGTCGCATTCATATGTTTAAATTTTAATTCAGTTTATATTTTAGAATATTATTATTGTACTTACTGAAACAAAATAAAAACAATTATATGAATGAATTGTGACATTTTTCCGTCCAAAGTAAAAAGTCTTCTACTGAATTCTTCCTTCTACTGAATTAAACATCGCAAAGTTTGCAGTACTATATTTTTCTGAAACTGAAACCTTTGGAACATTGTATAAGATAGCTTCGCTAACCAAGAAGTGAGTACACAAAAGAGAAGCAAACTTAACAGAGTTCTGAATCTATGTAAAATTTGACATTAGGTTAGATGATCATTAATTTTATAGACAACACTGTGCGTTTAGAGGAAAAATAACGTAAGTCTATTTCCTTCGAGATGAAAAACAGAGACGCTATTTAGAAAAAAACAGACTGCTTCTCTCGTAATGCTTAATTTTCTCAACCTAAGTTTAAATTTTGGAGAATTTGAACAGCATAACACCTAAATTAAATTATAATAATAATTTGAAAATGAATTTACTCCATTAAATGTTCAAGCTCAAAGTTTTACATATATTATAAAAAACTTAGAATTATGCAGCAAGTAATACAAACTATAGTATTACAGTACTAACCGCTTTTTTAATGCACGAATTAATATTTTATATATACCGTATATACCGTATATAAAATATGATGTGTTAGCCGAGAATTTTTAGCAAAAATATTTTGCTATCTTTTTTGGGGGGGAGGAGGGGTTAATTGTAATTTCAACTCATCGCTTTCCATAAAGTATACCACGAGCCTTACTCAAGTAAATTATACCCCCAAATAAATATACAATAGCCCTGAAAATAGAAAATAATAATAATAAATAAATAAAATATTAGTAAAAGAAAAAATATAATAAAATAAAATAAAGAGAACTCAATAATCTAAATTGAGAATAAAATCCCGAATTTTTCGTAGTTTTTCCCATGGGTAGCATGTATACGAGCCAGTTTCCCTTAGAAAGTCCAACACGAAGGCATCCCTTCCCTTAGACAGATAGCCCTTGAGGCTTGGCCGTAATCCAAAGTAACCAAACCAAAGTACCAACCAAAATCAAACCAAAGTAACAAGAAAAAAGAAGCTAATTACGTATAGTCTCTCCAGCGCGGCATAGTATATCTACAATTTGAATCAAAAAAATATGAATAATTCTCTGAATACTAGTAAAATTGATCTTTCGAGACTTATTTTTGACAGGGGAGGAGAAATTAGTTATATTTTGTTTCTAAGCAAACCTATCAAAAACTTCCATATTTACTTTTCCCCAAATTGAATATTTACAAATCCCCAAATTGTATTAACCCTGCTTCCTTTGTCGCTGTTTTGAATATAAATTTTAATTGCTTCATGATTTCATAAAACAAAAAGGCCTTGTTATTTTCTTTTCATTAATTTATTCTCTGATTTATTTATTTTAAGTAAGTGTCTTAAAATTTCTAATTAAAGCAACAAATATATTTTAACAGAAACTTAAAAAGTTTTAATACGAGTAAAATATGATAGTAGAAGAATAAAAACTTTGCCATGTAGTTTTAAAGAAAGTTTAAAGTTTATAACATGTCCGTGGTTTAATACTCATTATATTTTTTCTAAAAAATATATTTAAAAAATAATAAATATTTTGAAATATAATACAATGCTTTCAAGAATGCAAGTACAGACACGTTAATATATTAAGCAACTTAAAATATGATTGAACTCGAAACATTTTTAATATAGCTTTACCTAATCACTTGATAGACGAACAATAGCTCTGATTAAATTATTGTAGCTACGCTGGACATCTGATGTCATTCTACTAGAAGCAATCATTCAGTTTGACTCTATTTACAGTCATTACAAATTTTTGGATTAGTTTAATCTTTATTATTTTAAAATTATCAAAATATAGATTTAAATTTCTTTAAAATTTTCAACAAGTAAAGCTGTTAATAATGAGTTTAAATTTATTTTTAGTAAAATGATTTAAAAATTTCATAAAATATTAAATCTTAAAATTTACAATTGGATTATATCCTTTTGCATTAAACTCTGTGTGGGAAGTTTTTCTGCCAGTCGAAACATTCTGCACCATCTTCTTATCATACACAGTATTTCTTATTCAGCTTAGTTTATAAGCATAACAAACGTTGTATTCAATTTGATTCCATTGGCATGGCTTTCCAAAAAAAATACTAATATTATTTTTTTTATCCATTCAGACTTTAATTTTCCATTTATATAATAAAAAGATAATTTCATTGCAATTTTTAAATTAATTAAAAATATAACTTTGGAAGAACGCACCTACCACATGAAGCTGCTTCCTCTACAGTACAGCAAGAGCTATCAACCTGTTGAATACGATCTTCATATAAGAAAGAAAAAACCAACATCATTAGATCCCCCTTCTATAATAAAGATAGTGTTAAATAATAATCATAAAGATATGCATTTAAATACTCGTTTATTCTAAAAGCATATTATGGCTCTTAGCGGAGAAACAGGTTTTGAGTCAGTTTAGTAAATACTAAACTGGTTTAAAATTAATATAATGCAGGTTTATTAAAATTTTTATTTTCAATTAATAAAAAATTGTTATTACTTAATCAAAATTTATTTTAATAGAATTATTTTTAAAAATCATATAAGTTAAATCTTAAAAATTACATTTACGTGATAAAATTCTTTGCATCAACTCAGTATGGAAAATTTTTCTGCAAGTCAAGCAATTTTTCTACCATCTTTTTATCTAGCAGATAATTTCTTATTCAACTTAATTTTTAAAAAAATCATAAAAAGTTTGGGAAAAAAATCCACAGAAAGTGATTTTTAGTTCCTTAAATATGCTATAAACGTGATTTTTAAGGCCTTACTTAAAAGTTTCCGAGAACATCCTTCAAATCTGTTCATTTCATTTTCCTATTCACCTAAAAGGAATTCTACCATCCAGATACTGTTATAGAATAAAAAATGAAACTTGAGCTTTTAAAGCAAGATCGCTAAAGCAACATTTAATATCAGCTTTATTAATGCACAGATGTATTCTATCAAACTTGTATTTACAAATAGGCATCTAAATCTAATTACGAAATAAAAATATCTTTTTGTTAGAATTTTGTTTACTTTTCTTTTACCGTGACTTTGTTGGATATAATTAAGGTTTCTGCAAAAATTTCATTAATGATTCTTTTACTCAGGTTATTGAAGCAGCTGTTTGTAGCGGTTATTAAGAACATAAATTAAGTTATACTGTTTGATATTTGGCAATTCCTTGTTGGACAAAGGAACATGTTAGACAATTTTAGAAGGTCTGAAAAGCAAGCGTAATTGCTATTTCACCGAAAGTTAATTTCAGAGAACAAACTTAATTTCTGGTCATGCGAAAACTGAGAGAGAATTCGATTATCTTATCATTAGCTATCGAGTTCTTCAATACGGGTAAAATCGATATTAATTTTGAGCATGGTGTATTATTTGCTTATTACCGTCCTCTCTGCAGAGAAATCGGCATTAGCTTTTTAATTGCAATACAACTTTTATTAACTGAAGTTCTGTATTATTTTATGTAAATCGATAAACATAATATACGTCTTTTCTCGAAATTCACAAAAGGTCCCCGTTATACTTTGAAAACTGTGCAAAAAACATAGAAAATCCATGCCTGTTAGCTTAAATGTCGTTGAAATAAAAATTTTTTTATAATGAAAAAGACGAATCCGAAAACCCTCAAGGGTCTTGATACTGAGTTTGACTGGGGATTTTACAATAACAACAAATAATTATTGTAAAAAAGTGCTTTATCCAGAAAGCATCCTTCTTAAGCATTATTTAGAAAAATTCAAATAATAAAGCATGCAGATCAAAATGATTTGTATTTTATCTGTAATCATTTTACCTAATTTCAGTTTTCGATTCATATTAAAATAATTCACACTTTTCTTTTTAAACTTCCTCAAAATATTAAATGTACAGCAAATAATCTATAGGAAAAAATGGGCAATTGAATGTTTCTCGTTATTTGTGTGTAATATTAAGTTCACTAAAAGATGACAAATTATTTTTAAATGAATTTTTGTGCAAATAGGAGAAAATTTTGTATCCGTAACTTTAATAAATAGATATCTCTGGGGATTTCATTCAGTTTTTACTGACTTGTACAAAGTAAAGGAAGTATTGAAATAACGAAAAATTTCAGGTATCATATTTCAACGAAATTATCCATTTTGCTCGTTCTCGAATCCATTTGAACACTGTTTTTGCGTGACATCTGTACGTTACGGACCTCTTTCCCAAAACAGATTATAAAATGGGTTTAAAATGGATTTAGAATAAATTTTTTCGACACATCTGTACGTACATATGTACATTGCACAAAAGAAAAAAAATTAACAGTTCTATATCTCCCGTTCTACAGGGCCGATTGACGATTTCAGCTTGGTTTTTCTTTCATGTGCCGAAAGCGCGACTTAGGACATATATTAGATTTATATATAGCGTCGTTCTAACATTGGTATTTTGACACAAAATTGAACTTTTTCTGAAATAACATACCAGTTTTTTTCCATGTTGTCATTTTACGATTCAAATTATGCCTAGATGTTAAATTTCGTAATTTTTGGTGAGAATTTTATCGAGAAATTCAAACTTTATTTTGGCGCACTTTTTTCAATTTGCACCAATATTAATTCACTTGGCGAACTTCTTAATTTATAGCAACCTATTTTTCCCTTTTTTTTTTTTTTTTTTTTTTTTTTTTTTTTTTTTTCATTGTACAGAAGGGGAAAAACGTCATCGTTCATACTTTCAAATAATTTTAACAAAGCGCGTAAACCACATTTGGAGTTATTATCGCTTATAAACATACGTTAAATTTCAAAACGTGTCAGCATGTAAATTCGCGTATATCTTAAAAAATTTTGAATAAAATCTTTAATTTTTTGTAGGTATGCTTAGTAATACATCTACTTTAAGATGATGGTAAAAATGATTTAGGTTATGTATCAAAATTTATTTCGAAAAATTTATGAAAATTGTTTAAAAATACAAATTTTATAAATAAATCATAAAAATGGGTCAATTTTATTTGGAATAAACCTAAATTTCGAAAAACGTTTTTTACAGTTTAATAAAAGAAAATATATTAGTAAATATATACCAAATTCAATTAACATGGAGGAGGTAAAATTTTGAGAGTTAAATTTTTAAAAACTACTCGTGCGGTTTTTACAAAACTTAGCAATCTGGCATAATTTGAGTCGTAGAATTGAAATATGGGAAAAAATTGGTATATTATTTCAGAAAAAGTCCGATTTTGTGTCGAAATACGTATCTTACAACAATGTCATAAGATATAAATCTAATATATATCCGAGATATGGAAAACGCAAGCTGAATTTCGTCAATCGGCCCAGTAGAACAGGAGATATAAAACTGTCCCCCCCCTCTTTTTAGTCCAAAGGGGCTTTGTCCCTGAAGGACTATTGTTTTCGTTTTGCGATTTTGCGTCGGACTCATAAACGTCGGTTCACTTTTCAATGTTGCCACAAAATGTTAGAGTCCTGCATTATATTTGAAGAAATTAAATAATGAAAAATCTGCATAAATGATTGTCTATTTCTCGCATTGTGATAAAACAATGGTACACATAGAGCCATCGAATTTTGAATGACGAAATCCTACTGCGAATATGGGCATCTGAAATCCCAAATTTGGAATTTGTTTTTTATAGATTTTATATTTTGTAAAACTTTAACGAATTTTTGATTTACAAACTCAATGCTTTAAAAGCGAGAAATGGCAACGTTATATAGAAAAAAAATACTTTTATCTCCAGCTCGCGAGACTGTGTATATCGGAAATTCTAAAGATATGCTTAATTTAACATTATTTTGCGATATTGCTCTTGAACTGAATTTTATGGTTTAAGTGCAAAGAACATGATATTTAATAAATAAAGGTAACACTCAAAACGTTAAAAAACGCCCCTTTGGACGTAATTTAAAATCTGAAACATTTCAGATTTTTTTTTTTTTTTTTTTTTTTTTTTTTTTTGTCCAAAGAGATTTGTCCCTGAAGGACTATTGCTTTCGTTTTGCAATTTTGCGTCGGTTCACTATAAACGGCGAATCACTTTTCAAACTGCTGCCACAAAATTTTATCGCCCTGTGTTGTATTTAACGAAATTAAATAATGAAAAATCTGCATAAATGTATGTATATTTCTCGCATTGTGATAAAACAACGGTATATAGAGCCATCGAATTGTGAATGAAGTAATCCCACTGCGAATATAGGCATGTGGGAAACCAAATTTGAAATTTGGAATTTGTTTTAATATCGATTTCCTATTTTGTAAAACTTTAAAGAATTTTTGATTAACAAACTCAAGGAATTCAAAGCGAGCAATGGATACGTTGTAAAAGTAATGGGGGAAAAAGAAATTTATTTTAAACATAATGGTTGGTAATGCCAATATCTAATCTAATTTATTAAGAATCTAGATAAATAAATTAGCATCAAGGTTCTTTCGCCAAAATAAGATAAATAAATAATAATAATACGGAGAGTAATAAAATAGGCAATCTTCAAACTAATTCACATTCATAAATTTTGCCGTTAAATAGTGTCATATGTGTTCCAGGTAACTCCTTAGACATAAGTATGGTTATGATAATTATTTTAAAAATCAGTCATAAGCAACTCCGTTTTCCACTACAATTTCTGTTGAAAAGTCACAGAAAAGACCAACATTAACTTTTAGCTCTCGACTTTCTCCTCTGTAAACACTGTACTTTATTTTAAATTTAAATATGTGCTCAGTTTTTGTGTTCGGAATGAAAAGAGACGTGAAATAAATTATGAATATTATGTTGTTGTTCTGCGTATGCAAGAGGGTAGGTCCATTGTTAAAGGTCACTTTTCATTGTTTTGGCGGGTGGAAGCATAAAATCTTGGTCTCTAGAGCTGTTTCCTGGTTAAGGTGCAGTTTTGAGAAGTAAATGACGACTTATATATACACTGCTCGACATTGAAAATTCAACACCAAGAAGAAGTGGTCAGAAATTGATGAAATTTGGAAAAAAGACAGACAGCAAGCAGCAATAAGTGATATTTATTTCAAAATGATAGTCAGAATACAGAGCGAGAACAGCGTCGGTGCAATAGGATGTAGGACCACCGCGGACAGCGATGCACGACGAAACACGTCTAGGCATAGAGTCAATAAGAGTGCAGATGGTGTCCTGAGGGATATCTCTCCATTCCCTTTCCACCATTTACCACAGTTCGTCTTCTGTTCGAGGCAGAGGCAGAGTCTGCAAACGGCGTCCAATCACATCGCACTGTGTAGTCGGGCGTTATCCTACTGAAAAATTGCATTAGGCAGCCCCTGAAGGTAGGGGATTGCCACCGGCCACAGTACACTATCCAAGAATCGTTGGGCCGTCATAGTGCCCTGAATACGAACTAGAGGTGACCTGGATTCGTTAGGCAATAGCGTCCCAAACCATTATGCCACGTTGTCGCGCGGTGGGGCGTTCCATAATTACTGCCGGATTAGATCTGTCTCCACGTCGACGCCACGCACGTATGGGGCGACTGTCACTGGATAAACAGAAGCGTGACTCATCTGAGAACACGACATTTCGCCACTCTGTCATCCACATCGCTCCAGTCCGGCACCATTCTAAACGTTGGCGTCTGTGGGGTCAATGGCAGCCTTCTTAACGCACGCCGTGAATGCAGGCGACGGTCAACCAATCGACGGGAAAAGGTTCTGGTCGACACGAGAACACCTTGCACATGCTGCAGAATCGCGGTACAAGTGACTTGCGGGACCGCCACAGCTTGACGGCGGATGTGTCGATCCACGCGTTCTGACGTCATTCTGGCTGCACCTGCACCCCTCCTTCTTCCCACATTT